ATTTGGTTAAAAGAATATTCATATCACTACACTGAACGGTTCGGATTGATAAATTGGAGAACGGAGTTCGAACTCCAATAGATTTCTTTACGTTCACTAACGCGCAAATACCCTTGTGAAAAGAATGAATCCATCTCGCCTCCACATCCAGTAATGGGTTGAATAGCAAGACACACTGAATTCCGTAGTCTTGTTTTGCAACCAGTCTACTATAGTAAGAAATGGCAACCTAAACATCTTCTACCGAGTCTGTTGTGGCCTGTTTAGGGGCCAGAGAGAAAGACACGGAAAACGAAAGGTAGGTTGAAAAAGTAGATTGAAGATATATTCAAAAGAATAGTGTTAGTAATAAGTAGATTAGCACTGCGTCTACTACTCCACTCCACTTCACACTCTCTGGTATTCGACTCTCGCAGTTTGTATTTATGAGACGAGGAAGAGTTCATTCTACTGTAAGAGGGTTTACCACAACGGAGTCACTCATGAATCGTATGACACACGATCGTCTAAACGTGTATTGCGAATGACACTTAACTGACTGATACGGAACTGGACTATCATAAGATTTTTCCAGGGAGATAATGTTCTACTGATATGATGAAATAGGAATCTTAGGATAAGTAAGTAACACGAAGAAAAAAATACATCGACATCTGAACTTCAGCTGAGTTTATGTTACTGGCGACTGTAACTTTCCAGAAATGTAACATTTTCTGCTAGGTAGAGGCAGGGCTCATGGAATTTGTTAGTATGCATTCTCTATGTTCTAGACCAACTGAAATCTTTGCTCCAAAACAACGCTTCACCGTGTTACGAATGATAAAGTGTTGTAAGGATGCAGAAGGGTTGGAAGTCATGAAAGACATAACTCATAATGGCTTAGCTTCGCAAAACGAAGATCACAAAGGAGTCTGTACACGTTGCTTGCAGTCATGTTTGTGACTGATAAGTCCAATGCGGGATAGGCATACTCGGTTGCAGTACTTGCAACTAAAAGTTTGGCCTGGGCTCGATGGCATAGCATTGCAGTACTTCCTACTCTGCCTCTTGTCCCTGAGAGTGGCTCTGCGGGTATTTTCCAACAAGGAGACAACATGGTTGGTGGTAATACGCTAGGCGTCACGGTTGTCAGCTAGGGTTGACCATTGGCAATGGTTAATATGACAGGCAACAAAGGAATTTTTTAAGGCTCTCTTTGAATCGCTTCTTTGGTTCACCGCTGCCAAGATAACCAGCAGAGAGCTCATTGTACAATAAAACTTTAGGCAGACGATGATTCTCCATCCTTGAAACATATATTACTAAATATTTACAAAATTAACATTTGACTGCAAGGCATTTATTGGCTATTATAAACCTTAATAAAAAAATACAAAGCAGTGATAGACATAAAAATCAAAAAGAGAACAAACACAAATGGCTGTGAACAATTATTGACAGGTCTTTTTTCTACGGTTTATCACCCCATTACAGGTTATTTCAGGCCTGACTGTATTTTTATATTTATTTTAAGTGAAATTGCTTTAGATAATAATGACTTAATGATAAAAGACTTATTAACATACATATAGCTGAGGAGAGTTGGTGAATTCATACCTTTCCCAAGAGTATTTGCGCATAAATGAATGTTATATTCACTTGTGCACAAATTTCAAGAAGAGGTACTGTGGAGTAATGGATAGCGGCTCGGAGAGCCGAGTTTGAATTCCAGTCAGATCTATTACATTCACTTACGTGCTAATAACCTTGGGAAAGATATGAATCCTCTTCTTCTGCCCCTCAGCTATGGGTAAATAGCAGAACAGACTGGGTCCTATAGCCCTGGGTGTCAATCGGTCTAGAAGGTAACTCTGAATTCAAAACCAGTCTGGAGAGTACATTTGGTTCCCTAAAACCCTGATGGGTCATGGAATTCGCGATCACAAATATAGGGAACCCAAGTGAATTGAAACGATTAACAATTTCAAGTCATTATCTATTATACCACCCGCACTTCGCACCTAGTATTCCCAATAAGACTACCCACCATTTAGGTAAATACCTAGATAATAATCACCCATCGACGTATTTACCAGGCTCGACGTTGCTTAACTTTGGTGATAGTACCGGAAGCAACGCTTTAACGTAACTGTAATCCTGTGGACAATTGTTTCATCTCAATATTTTAAAAGTTAATGGTACATTCAGATATATTGAACATAACATGTATTTTCACCACTACGTAAGCACATAAATAAGTTCACAGTTCTCTTTTTCAACATAAGATCTAATTTTGTCAATGCACTTAATTTTGCAGTGAGTAACAGTCATATAGAGAGAATTGTATGGACTGGTGTTAGAACGTAGCAAAAAAAACTGTACCAAATAATATAAACCACATCATTTGATAACTTTCAACAGCAAAACGACTAAAATGAATAACACGTATAAAATACAAAAGAGACATAATCAAGATATTGACATTCCACATTACTTCAAACAAAGAGTTAGGAAGGAAACCTCCCAACAATACTAGAAAGGGCAATAACAATAACTAAACTTGAGAAAAATGTTTTTAATAGAAACATTTTATAAATTTCAAATGACAGAAGTACTGACTGCTCAGACAATGAATGGCGACTGTTTACTTATAAGGAAACGTATAATATTAGTATTACTACGGTTTGACACTGAATGGTAAGAATTTCTGTCGTGGTCATGAGTAATTATGTTTCAATTTACAGGTACAACAAATGGCATTAACTAATGTTACGCCTTAAGGTAGATTTTATAAACATAAAAGCGCAGTGTATCTTTCTTTTTTTTCATTTTAGACAAAAGGTCATTTAACTGAAGTGTTCGTGGTGGCACCTTATTCTTTTAAAATAACAACGTGTGCATGATTAAGTCTCTAATGAGTAAATGTTCTCACATTTTCGTCTCCCTGTCCATTACCCAGCGGCGATGTCCAGGAGGGTTTGTGAATAATCAGACTAAGTTTTGTATTCAAAGTTTACCTTTAACAAAACCGACGATAAGCCAAAGCTAGAGAATCCAGTCGGCCCAACTATTTCCACCCTGAATAGGGTGATAAAGTTAGTCAGTCTGTTATGTGCCATGACACACGCTTAGACAATCATGTATCTTTCGATACATGAGTGACGCGGCAGATTTTTCCGCAGTATGTTGACATTTCTTTCATCTTATTGAGCTTGTGAGGTTCAAATCAAAATTCTTTTTAATAATATGATGATGAGCAAAAGGAAATAAAATGTTTTGTTTGATTTTACACTATTTCGATTAAACTGAAAATTTCCCTCGTCATAATAGTGAATGATGAAAATTTTTCTTTGTAAGTATAGAATCATATAGGTATGAAAACAAGTCGAAAACGAGTCAAACAATGAAGGCAAAGAAAAAAAAACAATGATAGTATTTAAGCGATCTTATGACGAAATTAACGTAGATTAAACAAAACCGTGACTAATCCACAGTGTTTAAAATGAAAACAATACAATTCCTATATTCCTATCATGAAGTGTCACAAGGAAAGAATCATATGTAAATTTTTCTTTTGATTTTAGAAGGCATCAAAGATTGAGTAGAACATCAGACAGTCATGTACCATCGTTGATACACGCTAAGGCGATCATGTATCTTTCGATACATGACTAACGAGGCAGGTTTTTTTCCCGCAGCAGGTCGCCATTTCTTCTGCGGCAGACAAGTTGCCATCCAAGGCTACAGAACCCGGTCTGTCCTGCTACTTACCCATAGCTGGGGTGGGGAGAAGAAGAGGATTAATATCTTTCCCAAGTGTATTATCACGTATGTGAATGTAATGGATTCGACTGGAATTCGAATAAGGTAGGTTCATATTTTGGAGAATGCAAGGTGTTGTAAGCTTCGATATACGGTTGATGCAATTTATAACTGCTCGGAATTGTTAATCGAAGAGCCAAGGTTCAATTCTCATTCGGTTCGTTATAGTCACTTAATCGCACATATCCTTGGGAAAGGTATGAATACAACTTTCCCCCCCATCAGATATGGGTTAATTAGTAAAAGTTTTACTACAAAAACCACTAATATCTCAATATATTAGGTTGGTGCAAAAATAATGTCGTTTTGATGTTAAGTTGAACATCAAAAAGCGACATTATTTTTGCACCAACCATATATATATATATATATATATATATATATATATATATATATATATATATATATATATATATATATATATATATATATATATATATATATATATCCGATCATTACAATCAAAAAACGTCGACACCAAAGAGGAGAGTTCGAATTCCAGTCGAATTTGTTACATCGTACAGGCAAATATCCTTGGGAAATTTATGAATCTATCTTTTCTCCATAAAGCTATGGGTTTAATAGTAGTACATCTATCTGAAAAGAATTCACAGACCGATAGTCGCAATATGTACAGTTTATAACATACAGCATAGATACCCTTGGGAAAGGCATGAATCCAAATCTTATCCCACCACATGTAAATTGAGATCCCATAGATTTTGAAAGAATGGAGACTTTTGAGTGTGTTACTGTTAAAAGTGACTGGAGAAAACTGGGTTTAAAACGGTGGTGATAAAGCCGTTACGAGCTTTGCCTATGAGTTATTAACGATGACTGGCACCTCTTATATTTTCTTCGGTGAACTCCAAAAACTTATTAACCTTTGAATGAAAAATATGGTGGATATTTTAAAACTAATATTCCTATAAAAAAAAATGACTATATGTTGAAAAATTGGCTTTCATTATATGCGATCATATTTTTATATATTCTCTGGAAAAGAAGTTAAATATCCAATTTTCGCCAGAACTTCGGCATGTTGTATCATTTGAAACTCGATCTTGGGCTAGTTTGCTTTTACGTTTTTTTCATTCGTTTTGTATTTCCAATCACAGAATATCGATTTACTGTCATAATATAGGCACAGCAGAATATAAAGGGGTTCTATTTTTAAGTCTAGAGAATTTGTCCATGACAGTAAATAACAAATATTTCCAGCTGCTTTGTTCAAGCCTATCCCAACAGACGATAGATAGATAGATAGATAGATAGATAGATAGATAGATAGATAACAACAGACTGAGATAGATAGATAGATAGATAGATAGATAGATAGATAGATAGATAGATAACAACAGACTGAGATAGATAGATAGATAGATAGATAGATAGATAGATAGATAGATAGATAACAGACTGAGCTAGCTAGCTAGCTAGATAGATAGATAGATAGATAGATAGATAGATAGATAACAACAGACTGAGCGAGCTAGCTAGCTAACTAGATAGCTAGATAGCTAGATAGATAGATAGATAGATAGATAGATAGATAACAACAGACTGAGCTAGATAGATAGATTGATAGATAGATAGATAACAACAGACTGAGCTAGCTAGCTAGATAGATAGATAACAACAGATTGAGATAGATAGATAGATAGATAGATAGATAGATAGATAGATAGATAGATAGATAGATAGCAACAGACTGAGCTAGCTAGCTAGATAGATAACAACAGTCTGAGCTAGCTAATAATACTAATATTATACGTTTCCTTATAAGTAAACAGTCGCCATTCATTGTCTGAGCAGTCAGTACTTCTGTCATTTGAAATTTATAAAATGTTTCTATTAAATCTTTTTTCAGGAAAACATTTTTCTCAAGTTTAGTTATTGTTATTGCCCTTTCTAGTATTGATGGGAGGTTTCCTTCCTAACTCTTTGTTTGAAGTAATGTGGAATGTCAATATCTTGATTTTGTCTCTTGTATTTTATAGGTGTTATTCATTTTAGTCGTTGTTGCTGTTGAATGTTATCAAGTGATGTGGTTTATATTATTTGGTACAGTTTTTTTTGCTACGTTCTAACACCAGTCCATACAATTCTCTCTATATGACTGTTACTCACTGCAAAATTAAGTGCATTGACAAAGTTAGATCTTATGTTGAAAAAGAGAATTGTGAACTTATTTATGTGCTTACGTAGTGGTGAAAATACATGTTATGTTCAATATATCTGAATGTACCGAGGCAACTTTTAAAATATTGAGATGAAACAATTGTCCACAGGATTACAGTTACGTTAAAGCGTTGCTTCCGGTACTATCACCAAAGTTAAGCAACGTCGAGCCTGGTAAATCTAGCTAGCTAGATAGATAGATAGATAACAATAGACTGAGCTAGATAGATAGATAACAACAGACTGAGCTAGCTAGCTAGATAGATAGATAACAACAGATTGAGATAGATAGATAGATAGATAGATAGATAGATAGATAGATAGATAGATAGATAAAAAACATCCCTCTTCAGTAGATACGATATAAAACAAAGAGATGTCACATGCACATATTAAATAACAACACGATTTTGCATTCTTTTTTCAAGTATGCATTATTATTGTGGATATAATGTCTTTAGATGCAAATTTGTGCTCAAAATAATTTTAGATTTTTTCCTATTACCAGAACATTCTGAAAAGTGCTTGGCACACAACCACGTAAATATCGTCGAGGACTTGGACTTTGCTAACCAGACGCTTCTCTATGGTTAAGTGGTATAGCACATCAGATCAAATAACGCTTCCGTATAGGACATAGGATCGATTCCTTTTGGAGAACGCATATTTTCTACGAAATTTATCGAATATACAGGCCGGTAAATGTAATTAATACTGTTTAGATAAATAAATTGTATCTATTAAAATAACGTATAAACAGAATATATATATATATATATATATATATATATATATATATATATATATATATAAAAAAAGAAAGAACATTAAGATACAAAATCCGGTGTTCTTATAGATATTTTTATTTTTACAAAAATAGTGCTCAATGTAAATTTACAGAGCATTAATATTATAAATTAATTGATTTAAAATATGTTTTTCGCTACACAGTTCAACCATGTTTCAAAAATAGAAGCTAAAAAACCCCGAATTTAATTTTGCAATTAAATTAAAAGCATTAGTTACATTTCATCGCTTGAAGATGAAATGGAACTAATGCTTTTAATTTAATTGCAAAATTAAATTCGGGATTTTCTATTTCTATTTTGAAACATGGCGAAACTGTGTAGCGAAAAAAAACATATTTTAAATCAATTAATTTATATATATATATATATATATATATATATATATATATATATATATATGTATGTGTGTGTATACTTGGTAAATTATTTACACCTATTATGTCTATTTATTTTAGTTTTAATGAGCATAACACATCAACAAATAACTTTAAATATATCAAATTACTATACCGTAATCAAATGCATTCTAACTATAGGCAGGAGGAAAAATTCTAAAAAGACTCATAAACACTAATATATTTCCCACCGATACAAGTAAAAAATTAATTATGCACTATAATGATTTAATACAACTAAATAGTCGTCGAAAACAATTTTTCTCTGTCAACTGGCATCTTACAAAAAGCCAACAATGTATACTATTTAAATGTCCTTTGGGAGATTGCATCTCTGATAAAAATGTTAATACATATGTTGGCTTTACGACAACAACCATATGGCTTAAATTTCACTTGAATGAACATTGTTCAATCTAAGTACATTCAGAAGGCATTTATGTCTGCAGTCACAGTTTAGACAGATATTAGTGGAAAATACTTCATCAAAAGTATAATAAGCCAAAACTTAAAATTCTGGAAGCAATTTATCTAAGAGGATTGCGACCAAAAATAAAGTCAGCTATAAGTATAGCAACAAATTTGGTAAATGTTTGTAGCAGCAATATATCATATAAAATACTTAATTAAAATATTATGACTAAAAAAAACTAAAATTACAAAAATTATCCCATTGCATATTCGAATATGGTACGCTGTAAAATAACAGTAGGAAATATTTTCAATTTACGAAGCTACTGTATACACATCCACAGATATTTTAACCCCCTGGACATGGTCTCAGATGATATTCAAAGTATATTATTTGAAAGAAAATTTGGAAATGTTTCTTAATCAATTTTCTACGGCCAACAAGAAATTCATTTGCGGACTTAAAAGAATTAAAACTAAAATAAATAGACATAATGTAGGTCTAAATTATTTAACCAAATATGTTTGAATGAAAATATAGTGCCGAAATATATAAATATATATATATATATATATATATATATATATATATATATATATATATATGGGAGGGAGAGAGAAAGACAGACAGACAGACAGTGAAAGACAGACAGAGATAGAGAAATATTTTTTTCGGGAAAGTGCTGAACAAGCTACTTTGAAAGTGACAAAGTGGAAAATATAGGTAATTTTTTTTTTAAATAAACGTGAATTCATGAGAAAATTTGTCTTCAAAATAATTTTTGTCACAAATACAACGTTATAGTTGATGTCTTAGAAGTCCATAGAAACCTGAAGACGGATGCTGTAACGATTCCCTTGGATGCCTGCAACCAATAAATGGTAAGTTGGAACTTTACCCCTACATGAGATCTCATTACTAAGTATTGTATGCCGGTTCCGTTTCGCATATTTCCATACCACTTCATGTACTAAACTTCTGCTAAAATATATAGAACTCAATATTTTCTAATATTATGATATCTTTTCTTCTGGTCGTTTTTATATAAAGATAATTCATTCTGTGATGACAATAGAAGCGACACAAATAATTTTGTAAGAAGTCATTCCTTTTGTTGATATATCGATGTATAAACATCTGTTTCTAAGGATGAGATATCTAGAAACAGATGTCTTAGTAGGTTCCATCAACACGGAAACAAACAACGTCGTAAACATGTTTATTATTGCCGATGTCAGGGCTCCTGATTCATCGGATGTTAAGAATAGCGGTTAATGTGGCAAACTGATATATACCAGCGACACAAGTTACGAAGTCATGTTTGCAGCCGGTTTATTGAAAGCGATGCCAAAATTTTGGCTAAGAAGAGTCGGAAAGTTTTTAGATAGTCCCATGAACTGAAACACCAGACAAAGAGTAGAGCTAATTTATATTCTTAGGTCCAACATTTTCATTCGATCTCTTTTCTATCCATCTTATATGAGGAAACCGATGGAAACCTTTGTTATTATCTTTGTTTATTTTTACTGAAAATCACTCAACGTTTTATTTTATATTTTTAAGCGTCAGCCCTCTTATGTAATTCTGCCATTTTAAAACTAACATTGTAAAATATCTGCATAAGTCAACCAGGATATCTTCTTCTTCTTCTTCTTCTTCTTCTTCTTCTTCTTCTTCTTCTTCTTCTTCTTCTTCTTCTTGTACGCGCCGTGTTCCTTCAAAAAGTGAGTAGTCATGACACCCGACAATTTCCTGTCTTTTGGAGATCTTAGTCAGATTTGACTTTTTTTCTATGTCTGCTAAATACTATCTTGTCAAACAAATAGACGAACTCGTTAGGTAAGTGATCCACTATTATTCCACTTCTCTTTTTCTTGCCTATGCCCTGCCAGTGTCAAATTCACTAATCCTTTTTTCCTTATTATGTGTTGAAACTTGACTAATGCATGGAATAATAATGCAACACAAAAGGTACTTAGAACAAAATGTATTGAAACAAGAAAGTGTACACAATATTTACATATAGTCTTTTGTATATTGCTGGTAAGACCGTTCCTGGAAAATGTGTTGACTGAGTCGCAGTCGGGCAGAGTCTCTGGTTGAATCTCTTGATTCCTTCCTCTCTTCCCGGTACCAACCATATTTATATGGTGGGTACTCCACTATGCAAATTAGGTGGATCCTACCACAACATTATGAGACGTAGTTTCCAATATAGCGGTGATTCGTGAAGTTGGTGACATAATAATTGAATTGTGCCGGTTAGTGTGTACTTGGATTCAGTAAACACAGGCGATCAATAACTGAGCAGTACTAAAAATAAAAACTAGACAAAATATCTCTAGACATGGGCAGTGAAAAGAGCATGATATACCCAGTAGATTAAAAAAAGAGTCCAGTTT